CCCCACCGAGGGGCCCATTCCTCGATACATGGCCGCCTCCGGCGCCGGGAGGCGCCAGGAAAATCAGCCACGTGAGCTGATTCTCACCCCCCCCCCTTCGCTATCCCCCCCTTTCGCCCGGCCCGAGCCTTGGACTGTCTGGAGGCCATCCGTGGCGTACGGAACAGGTAATTCGGCGATTCGCTGCCCTCTTGGACCGTCTTGGAGGCCTCTAGGGGCACTCGTTGACCTTCTTGGGGTGCCTTGGGCCCCAGGGTCGCCCGGGGGGGGAAGGTGTGCCGACCCGGGACCCCGCCCGCGGGATCCCTTCCCGGGACACTCCCCCGGGATCTCCCCTCGGCCCCCCCCTTGGACCCCCCCCTGGCGTGGCAGGGATCGAGGGAAGGGGCTCCCCGTCAAGTCAATCACGACGTTGCCAAATTTGGCTCTGGCTGGCGCGCTTGAGGAGGAGGGCCCAGGGAAAGGGGGGGAGCGGCGACGGCGACGGTGACGACGACAACGACGGCGACGACGGCGACGACGACGACGAACGGAAGGAGCGTCTTCCACACTCCGAAAGGGTCGGCGGGTTTGCAGACGAAGAAGAACACACATGTCCGGCGATTGCCTGACGGAGGAGAAGAGCAAGAAGTTGCTTGCCGCTGCCATCGTCCAAACATAAAATGCAAGGTTCGGTTGTATTCAACAACTGGAGTCCATCGCAGCGGTGGCACGTATTTCTTCGTATGCTTTCGCGCTCAGCGCGTCAGCTGAAGGAGAGAAAGGCTCGATGTCATTGCACATTCCTGCTCAGCAGATGTGTGGCATGGGCAATGTAATGTGTGCTCTATGGATATAATTGCACATGCAAGCTCAGCAGAGGTCTGATCTATGCAATGCTCGTGATGAAAGTCTTTGAAGTGGTGTAGAATTCAAAGCGTTGCCGGTCCGTGTATCATCGCAGACTTCCGCGCTCAGCGCACGACACCAGGGAATGACAGACTCGTGGTGGTTGCAAGCGAAGTTCTGCGCAGCGCGCATTCTCTACAATCCGAGCGAAAGTTCACAATGGTACTAATACGACTGAGCATTGAAATGCCAGCTCGATTCTGGCAGCTGAAATGACCGTTCTCGTCGAGGTCCCACTGGAGAGCAGGCCAGTCTCGAGCTAGCAGCTCAGCTGGCAAGGGCGGGTGACGGGTGAGGCGGGTGGCTGTGAGGCGATCGCGCTGCTTAAGGCGCTGGCCCCCCCAGGGGGGTTCCGCCAGGGTGGCGCGCCCGCGCGGCGGTCGCCCTGGGGGGGAGGAGGAGGAGGAGGAGGAGGAGGAGGAGGAGGAGGAGGAACAGAGAGGAGGAGGAGGAGGATGAGGAGGAGGGGAGGAGGAGAGGAGGAAGGACAAGGAGCAGGAGGAGGAGGAGAAGGAGGGATGAGGAGGAAGAGCAGGAGCAGGGGAGCGAGGAGGGAGGAGGGGAGGAAGGAAGGAGATAGGAGAGGAGGAGGGGAGGAGTAGGAGGAGGAGCAGGAGCGAGGAGAGGAGGAGGAGGAGGAGGAGGAGAGGAGGAGGAGGAGGAGGAGGAGGAAGAGGAGCAGGCCTGGGCGCGGTTTTCATGAGGGTAGCCTGTCACGAAATCGACGCCCAGAAATCTGGAGGAGCGGCGGCGCTTTCGGGCATTCTCGGGCCGCCAGGGGCGAGCTGGGCTGGACCGGGCTCCTCCGCTCCTCCGCCGTCTCCTCCACCTCCTCCTCCTCCTCCTACTCCTCCTCCTACTCCTCCTCCTCCTTCTCCTCCTCCTCCTCCTCCTCCTCCTCCTTCTCCTCCTTCCGTCCTCCTCCCCTCCTCCTCCTTCCTTCTCCTCCTCCTCCTCCTCCTCCTCCTCCTTCCCCCTCCTCCTTCTCCTCCTCCTCCTCCTCCTCCTCCTCCTACCTCGTCCTCCTCCTCCTCGTCCTCGTCCTCCTCCTCCTCCTCCTCCTCCTCCTCTTCCTCCTCCTCCTCCTCCTCCTTCTCCTCCTCCTCCCCGTGCCTCCTGCGCTGGGTGCAGGGCGCTGAGGCGCGGCCCCAGTGGGAGGCGGGCCAGGCCGAAGACGAGGAGGAGAGGTAGATCGTGCTGCTTCCATCCCGCCGGGTCTGTCGTGGGCTGATCGGCTCTCTTCTTCCTCTCTTATCTTACCTCCTCCTCCTCCTCGTTTTCCGCGTGCGTCGGGCCCCTGCCGCTTCCCTCTCCTCCCCTCCCCCCTCGCCCCTCCCTTTCCTCCTTGGCGTCGGCCGTGTCGCGCAGGAGCAAGAGTTCGCTGTGAACTCTTGCTCGCCAGTCGGCGGGCGGCAGCGGCGGTGCTGCCGCAGGGATGTGCCACTTACGGGGCGTCGGTGCCGCAAGTGGTGCAGTTGCGGCTCTCCCTACGCGTGCGGCCTGAACGGAACAATCCAAAGCAACCCCTCGAGAAGGAGGGGTTAATTCGACGGCGTGCGGCCGCGGGAAAGCCGGCCGGGGCCAGGACGGCAGCTTCGAGCTCGTGGCCGAGGCCGGCTGACGCTGGGAGGAGGATGGAGAGGAGGAGGGGGAGGAGGAGAAGTAGGAGGAGGAGGAGGAGGAGGAGGAGGAGGAGGAGGAAGAGGAGAAGGAAAAGGAGGAGGATCATTAGATATTTGATGCTTCCGAGGGTAGGCGTAACCTTGCTTAGTCGGTTGGGGCATATGGGCTTTCCCATCTTCTCTGACGGGCAGCAGCAGGAGGAGGAGGAGAAGGAGGAGGAGCTGGAGCAGGAGGAGGAGAAGGAGCACAAGGAGGAGGAGGAGGAGGAGGAGGAGGAGGAGGAGGAGGAGGAGGAGGAGGAGGGGGGGGGGAGGAGGAGGAGGAGAGGGGGGGGATGAGGAGGAGAGGAGGAGGAGGAGGAGGAGGAGGAGGAGGAGGAGGAGGATGAGGAGGAGGAGGAGGAGGAGGAGGAGGAGGAGGAGCTGGAACTCTTCTCCTGGTCCTTGCCCCGGCCGCCCTGTTGGACGGGATGTTGGAGGCACCTCGTCGCCTCGGCGGGATCTCTCAAAGTTTCAGCCAGGGCGAATTCTGGGGCAGATCCTGGATTCGACTTTTGACTTATGATGTTCCAACCTATTTTAGTTTTGATCACCAGAATTTCGAGTGCCCAAACAAGTACCGAAACTCGAGGGTTTTCACGTGACGGGCCCTGGGAGACAATCGTCCGACACTGTTTCGACAACTCTTTCGACGCTCTTTGACACTTTTCCAGGTGCTCGAAATTATTTCTGGGATGTGGTCCTTAAGTAGGATGGGCACAACATAACTTTTGACCTTCTTTCGGTCCCTTCATCTCTCAACCGCGGCCCCGGCACCTGACCATTCCAGGTGCGGTGTCCATCTGAGCCAGACTCGTGAGCGCGGTCCAGCCATCACGAGCGGTTTCCGGGCCGCTGCCGAACCATTGGCAGCCAAGGTCTTGCCTAGATCAAGGGTAGAGGGAGGGGAGGAAGAGGCCAAGGCATCTCTCATTCCTGCTCCCCTCCCTCCCTCCTCCTCCTCCTTCTCCTCCTCCTCCTCCTCCTCCTCCTCCTCCTCCTCGTCATCATCATCATCATCATCATCATCAGTAGCATCACCAGCATCACCAATGATAATAATGATCGTCATCATCCTCATCATCATCCTCATCATCATCATCATCATCTTCATCATCATCACCGTCATCATCACCATCATCATCATCACCATCTTCACCATCATGGCCACCATCATCATCATCATCATCATCATCATCATCATCATCATCATCATCATCATCATCATCAGCTTCAGCATCAGCATCATCATCAGCTTCAGCATCAGCATCAGCATCAGCATCATCATCTCGACCATCACCATCATCATTACCATCATCAGCAGCTTGTTCACTGCGAGGTGGCACTCGCTCAACCAGGGTAGTATTCGAGCGCGCTGTAGGCATCTGGTGCTATCAGGCGCGCCCGAGGCCGTGCTCTCGCCCAGGCGTCGCTGAACCCCAAAAGTCTCCCTCCCTCCAATTCCTCCCTCCAGCGTCCTCATCCTTCCCTGCTTCCTCGCGCTCTCTCCCCCCCCCGGGGAAGGAAGGGGGGATGGACGAGGGGGAGGGACCGAAGGAAGTGCCCCAAGGGGGGAGTGCGTGGCGCCAAGACGACAGCACACATGGGTTCTGCGGAGCCGGCATCGGGGCCTCGAGGGCCCCCGCTTGCCGTGCGGTGCTGGTGCTCTGCACGTGTGCGGCCCACTGCGCTCGTGCCGTGCTCTCCTGCCCGGCCGTATCCGCTCCATGTGTGGGCACGTCGACTCCACTACGGCACCTCCTCCTCCCCCTCCTCCTCCTCTGTCCTCCTCCTCCTCCTCCTCCTCCTCCTCTTCCTCCTCCTCCTCCTCCTCCTCCTCCTCCTCCTCCTCCTCCTCCTCCTCCTCCTCCTCCTCCTCCTCCTCCCTCAGGTTCGTGCTAAGCCCGGCCGTGCCGTGCATCCCATCCCCCCTCCCCAGAGCGGTGGAAGCCAGGGTAACTTCTCCATCGTGCGCTGCACCGCAGTGGTTGCGGATTCTGTTGTGTGTCGGCCGCTCGTGGGCAGCATCGATCATGAGTGGCGCGGCTGATCTTGTTTCGGGGCCCTTCTGGGCTCGCTTGACCCGAAACGGTGCGATGTACACTAGTGACCTTCGGACCATCCCGCCACCGTGCTTGGGTTGTGGGTTCGAGGCCTCTTAGATGTTCGTTTGGATATCGTGGGAGGCCTCTCGGGGAGATCTCCAGTTAAGAGGTTCAATCCCGGGAAATTCGGGTCAATCCCCTGGAGAGCTTTTCTACTTCAGAAGAAGCTTCATAATATGAATTGGCCGGTACCCTTCTGAGGGCTTCCATGCAGGGAGGCTTCTTGGGCCTTTGGGAAGGCCTTTTGGACCTCTGGGACGGCGTCTTGGGTTTCTGGGAATGCCACGTAGACCTCTCGGAAGGCCACGTGGACCTCGGAAGGCCTCTTGGACCTCTCGGAAGACTA